AAGAAAAATATAGTAAATTTTTTTACAATATTTGTTTTTTTTTACAATATTTTTACATTTACATTTTAAAATCCAATCTTTTCTTCGAGCGTCCTTTCAAAAAGTATGAAATGAAATTTTCTTTCCCATCTTCTTTGTGTCAATTAGATTATTGTTGCAAGATGCAACTGCGCATTTTGTACCTGGCATTCTATAGGATTCTATTAATAATTATGTTATTATAAGAAATACTAATAAGAACAAACGAATTCACTGTACCATGTTATTAAAAATAAAAAATAAATACTCGTTATAATATTATTTTAGACGGATAAGTAGTTGACTGTTGAGATAATAAGATGAAAATAAATTATCATGATTTGCAGTAAAATTTGTTTATTTTTTTTAATTAAATTTGTTTGTTTAAAGACATTTTTACTGCAAATCCTGACAACGATCTTCACCCTTATAATATTATTATAATATCTTTATAATATTAAAAGAAATACCCACGAGATCTACAAACAAAATTACACAAACATTGCTCTAAAATGTTCTCTAAATATATATTAGAGGTAAGACTTCAACCGATAAATGTCAAGCCCTGCCACAAAAACAACCTCAACCCCAACCTCAAATTCCTCTTCATCCTAATATACCTAACCATCAACAACAAATTCCTCATATTCCGTCCTTCAAATGCAACAGATCTCACAAGTTTGTTAGCATCTTTCCTCACCGATTTCAAATCCCTTGTTACTCCACTCATATCACTCCTCACGAATCTCGTTTCTCACCTCATCCCTCCTTTAAAAAATCCTGAAATGACTCACATCCCTAAACCCATATCCATTCTCCTTTGGAATGCGAATGGTGTTAGAAATCATACAGACGAACTATCTACTTTACTACTTGACAAGAACATTGATGTGGCACTAATTACTGAAACTCGACTAACCACTAAACAGCACTTCAATATACCACAATACCTGACATATCGTACTGACCACCCTGACGGAAAAGCACATGCCGGTACTGCTGTAATTGTACACCAATCCCTCTCCCATCACGTACTCCCATTACCAATACATGATTTCCTACAGTCCACCGCTATCGTGATAAAAACCTTCTCCTTTCCGGTCACTCTTGCATCAGCGTATTGCCCTCCTAACCGATCCATATCCAATGCCCAATTCAGTTCTCTCCTCGACTCCTTAGGACATCACTTCATCTTGGGTGCAGACCTAAATGCCAAGCACCAACAATGGGGTTCCAGAACCACGAATTCTCGTGGCCGAACCCTGCTGTCTGCACTCAATTCCCAACGTTTTCACCTCCTTTCCCCCAACTCTCCTACCTACTGGCCCACAGATCCCAACCGTAATCCTGATCTTCTTGATTTCTTTATCCACAGCGGCTTAAGTCCCCTCAATTGTTCCATTACACGTCTAAATGAACTTTCCTCTGACCATAGTCCTCTAATCCTTAATGTTTCACTTGAACCTGTTCCCAAACCTTCTCCACCGTCATTCATTAGGGGCCCAGTAAACTGGGACCTTTTCCGCCAAATAATCTCCGATAATATTGATCTCAACATATCCCTCAAAACTCCCGATGACCTTGATAGTGCCGTAAATTCCTTTACTACCACAATCCAACAAGCCGCCTGGACTGCCTCCTTCCCAAAAGACTCCTCCAGAATTCCTATAAAGACCATTCTACCCCAACACCTCCTTAACCTAATCCGCACCAAACGCCGTGCCAGATTATTATGGCAACGTACCCGACATCCTACCGACCGCTGCTCCTATAATTACTACTGCAAACAATTAAAACTGGAATTAGCCACCTTCAGATCACAATCCTTCAACTCCTACCTATCCTCCCTCTCTTCTCGCGACAATTCCCTTTGGAAAACCACAACAAAAATCCTAAATCCTCACCGCATTTCCCATCCTCTCCGACGAGGTGATGGCTCCTGGGCAGCATCTGACGAAGATAAAGCTGAGGAGTTCGCCATTCACCTATCCAATACATTTATTTCACATCCGGAATCCCATCCTGCCCACACCGTAACAGTAGAAGAACTCCTTACATCACCAATCCCACTTTCCTTGCCCCCAAAAGCTATTCATCCTTCCGAAGTAAAATTTCAATTAAAAAAACTAATCCTCCGTAAAGCTCCTGGACATGATCTCCTTACACCTCAAATCCTTCGACAACTTCCATCCAAAGCAGTCATATTCCTTACATATATCTACAATTGTATCCTACGCACCACCCACTTCCCTCTGTTATGGAAACACTCCACTATTATCCTTTTCCCAAAACCAGGAAAACCTCTCAATAGCTCAACATCCTATAGACCAATCAGCCTACTCCCAATCCTTTCAAAAATTTTTGAAAAGATCCTTTTGAAACGAATCCTACCCATTATAGAATCCCAAAATATCCCTTCCCATCAGTTTGGTTTTCGCTCTCAACATTCTACTGTTCAACAAGGACTCCGAGTTGTTGATCATATTTCCTCAGCCCTAGAAAACAAGGAATACTGTTCGGGTGCCTTTCTGGACATTGCACAGGCATTTGACCGGGTATGGCACTCCGGACTGCTCTCCAAGCTTAAAATCCATTTACCTCAGTCCTTGTACCTAGTCCTCCGATCCTACCTCTCTGACCGCTCCTTTCGAGTTCGCTGTGGAACAGAATTTTCCAATATCTACTCCGTTAAAGCCGGTGTTCCCCAAGGCAGCGTCTTGGGTCCCGTGCTTTACATCCTCTTTACTGCTGACATCCCTGTTCATCCCGATACTTTTCTTGCAACATTCGCTGACGACACCGCAATCTTATCATCCAACTCTGATCCCGAAATAGCATCCTTAAATCTCCAAAGTCACCTCACCTTGATTGAGCACTGGTGTAATAACTGGCGCATTAAAGTTAATGAATCTAAATGCCAACATATTACCTTTACACTCCGACGCAATTCCTGTCCACCAGTACTCTTTAATTCCATCCAGCTTCCTTATTCAGACACAGTCCGGTATCTTGGCTTTCATTTAGACCGAAGACTAACTTGGAACCCGCATACTAGACTCAAAAGACAAGAACTCAACCGACGATACGGCCAACTATACCGACTACTAAGCAGAAAATCTAAACTTTCCATTGAAAACAAGCTACTGATCTACAAGACAATACTGAAACCTATTTGGACTTACGGACTAGAACTGTGGGGATCAGCAAAATTTTCTAACATCAAGCGCATCCAATCCTTCCAGTCTAAAGTCCTTCGAACAATAGTCGATGCTCCTTTCTATGTATCCAACAAAACCCTACATCATGACCTTAACATCCCATTTGTCCTAGACCTTATCCCAGAAAAATTCTCCAAATTTCACCAGAACCTTACATACCACCCAAATCCTCTTGCACAATCAGTATCAAGCACCTCCCATCCCTATAATCCTCCAAGAAGGTTGAAACGGCAGTGGCCTCGCGACCTTTTGTAGATTGTATAAATTGGAGTTCTGGCAATGGCCAGATTCTTCACGCAAGACATGAGAGTGTGTGGCTAAAGTGCTCTCGACCAATCTCTGCTGGCTTTGGTACCAGTGACGCGGTTGGGAGAGTAGCGCAGGGTTCTTCTGGAGTTCCCTCGCCTGATTGTGTATAGGTATGCATGTGTTTTTTTTTGTGTGTGTTTTTTTCTTGGTTTTAATTTTCTCATTTTTTAGGTTATTTTATTTTATTATCTATTGTATATACTTTTGATTATTATTTTGTTCTATTTATTTTATTTTTTTGTACATAATGACATGTATGTCATCCTACCTCACTATAACCAATGTCCAAGAGACAGATTGTTATAATACTGAATAAAGAAATATATTTTATGTATGACAGGAAAAAAATATATGTATATAAATATTAGTTTTTTCTATTTATGTAATATATTTGTATATTATTTACAGAGATTTTGAAAAAAAGAATTTAAAAATAATCTTAATATCATTTTCGTTCTTTTCGTTTCAGGTCTGGCCTGTAATATTCATAGCATTTTATTCTAGATTGATAGCCGTATTTATTTATTTATCTGCTTGAAATTATCTTCAATCAAACGTCAAAAACACAGAAAAGTATTCTTATCAATAAATTAAACTAGAAAACAAAAAAAAAGCACAATAATGTTGAAATAAGCCTTCATTGATAGGCTTGAAAGAGTAATAGGTAGGTCTCGCAGTCTATTCCTTACGTCACGTTTCAAGTTCCCCCACCACGCATTTCTGAGTGAGCAAAACTGGTAGTTTTACTGACCTTGGTTTTACTGACCTTGGTCTAAGGCCTGTACTGGGTGTCACTAGGGTGTACCATGGTAACAGCTAAAATGACATAAGTGTGACTAACACGTGTAGAAACTTTTGTGATTGTTGTAATTTTCGCCAGTTTTAAGTCTGATTGTACAGTACCAATTAATGGTGGCATTTCTAGATCAACGTGTTTGTGAGATCCAAAATCGATTTCTTGATTACAGATACATATTATATTTCTTGGAAAACTTAAATATATCGGATATATTAATGAATTTTTTTTATAATAAAGAAATATCAAATTAAATAAAAACAATGTCACTGTTATCAAAAACTAAAAAAATCTACAGAAAAGAAATGATTGTATTTAGAAAATATACTGTTTGATTCAAAATATTGTATTTTCTAAATAAATAAAAGCAGCTGTTCGAAAAGGAAAGCTGTGCCCGCGGCATAGTGCCGAGATTTATCCTCGCCAATGATGTTAGATTCTAAAAATTAGGAATTAATTTATTAATTTATAGTTATTTAGGGTAATCAATAAACTTAATTAAAATACTCTTAGCTATTAAAATAAACCATAGCAACTCTAACCATAATTCACGGGAATAGTGATTTAGGAAACGGATTAAATAAAAAGTCAAACCTCAATATATTATGTTTGAACTGTTATATTAGAAATTTGAGTTTTTCCTGGTAAATTGAGGAAGAGTTCACAATAAAATTGAAATTATAATCAGCTGACAATTTGATTGTTACCCTTTGAAAAGAATAATTCCACAAAGGACAATTTTGTTTTATTCATTAAAACACATGGAAGAAAATAAGGTATGTTTCTGTTATATAATAGGTAATACAGCTCATTGAGAATTAGTATTTGTCCACTAATTTTATAAAATCATACTTTAATTAAATTTGATGTTGGATAATTTAAAAATTGCAAGATGTTACTGAATGGAAACATTTGAACTAATAATTGAGTTTTTACCTTTTTTTGTTATACAGATGGAGAGAAGTAAAGAAGAAGAAGACCTCAGCCTGTCTTTCGAATTAACCAAAAAGTTCTGGTATTTAAATTCACCAAATAACCTAATTTCAAGTGTCACTCTAAAACTTATTTAAAAATTATGATATATAAAACTGTATAAATATTTAGCGAAGAAAAAGAAAAAAAATCATGTTTAAAACCACTTAAAGAACTACAGTAAATGATACCCATAGCTATCTGAATGATGTAACTCACTGCTTTACTTACTGTTTATTATACAACATTGTTTCATAATGTTTATAACAATAATAATAGGATAATGTTTCTGAACTTGAACAGTAATCCACAGAGTTATAGGCTCGTAGAAAAAGAAAAAATATTTTCCCACCAATACTATAAAATCTTTAAATGAATCGCTCTGGTAAATAAATTTGTTTGTAGTAGGGTTATTTATAAATTGTAATAGACTTTAATTAGAAAACAAATCTGACAATTATCTTTTTAGGGAGAAAGTGGAAGAAAGTGCGAAACAAGAAGAAGCAGGCATCATAAGAAAACAAATAAGAATGAAGTCCTCAACACCTGGTGCAGGTCTACCAGTGAGATCTAGAAATGTAATAATAGCCAATTTCTTATTTTGTTAAAATTTTACTAATTGGAAAAATTAAATTGCAGTTTATTCATTTGATGACATGCAATTACATAGTGGTCATTTGATTTTCTCCATCATTACTGCAATTATGTTTCAGCAGTGTGTTATTGTTTATGTAACTTTTCAAAAGTGTAGCATCAAATTGATGTTTTACTTACTTACAATGCAGCTCTACAGCCGGAGTGGGCCTTGGCTTCCTGCATTATATCATGCCAATCATCTCTATTCTTTGCCCTTTCCTCCAGGTTCTCACTCCCAGTGTTTTAAGGTCGCTTTCAACATCTTGCAGCCATCTTTTCCTTGGTCTTCCTTTTCTTCTTATGCCATACATTGTAGAGAACAATGCTCTGTAAGGCTCCTGCTATTGTCCATTTTAACCATGTGGCCTAACCATTCTATGCACCTAGTTTTAACAAAATGAACTATGTTGCTATTAATATAGTTCATATCGCTCCAAATTTTTTCGATACCTCCACACACCCTCTTCACAAACAGCTCCATAAATTGTTCTCAATATTTTTCTTTAAAAAATATTCAGCATACTATTTGTGCTTGTACAAAGGGTCCATGACTCCGCTGCATAAGTCATAATAGGTCTTATATTATTGATGTTTTAGGTTATCAAAATTTGTGCAATGGCCCTCTCTGCAGTTTCAGTACCAAGTAGTATAATTATAATATGTTATGTTATTTCATTAAATAACAATTGATAAAAATAATGAATTCTATTACCTTCACCTTTCTAAATTCAGTAGAGTATAATGCATTACTAAGTTGTAATTTTATAAGAAACATAAGGTATAAGAACATTTTTCTCCATTTAAAACCACAAAGTGATTCTTTAATTTGAAGGAGTGAGTTTAAAAAAGATACTTTATAATTTTAACTCAATGAAAAAAAAAAAAGATTGAGAACTAGATAAAAAACAAAGACATGTAAAAATTTATTTTAAAAATATTAGGTCATTAACTTATAATAACCCTTTATCTTTTTTCTTAAAGGAATTTAGGCTCGAAATACTTAATTCATAATTAGCTTAAATAATTTTTTGAGTAATATTGGTAGTTATTTTTTCATAACAATATTTCTTATGGAGATGGAGCGTGTTGGTCTAAAGCACTCTTAATATGACATCTTGAAGGTATTAATTTTTTTTCTATCTTTCTGTTGTTAGTACTTAATTTCCTTGAACATTTAAACTTTTTCTGAGATACATTGTTTCAACCCCTATCTATTTTTAATTTAATTAAATACTATTTTATAAGCTAATCCCATCTTCCAATCAGCCATTTGAAGATTCATATGTAATTATACATACATAAATAAATTTCAAGACGAAATCTAGACATTTTATTATTAATTTTATGCAAATTGTAAGAATTCAATCAATTTCAAATTTACTTTTTTTTATTGATAATATAACATTATGACAATTTTATTCACATGGGATTCTCATGAGTATTAAAGTAATTCAGGCTTCCATTAAATCATAAATAAATTAGTTAATCATTTATTTATTCTTTTTAACATTATGGGACTGTAGATCTTATCTTCAGTCTTCTACAAAAATTTCATAATAGTAGAGCCAAAGGTTTTTTCCTAATTTGGATTTTATTATATTACAGTTTGATAGTTTATATTAAAAATGTGAATTTAAGAACTACACTGTAAAGAATAATGTAAGATGATTTACAGTGAATTCTGATGATGGGATTTAAGGTTCCAAAACGATGTAGCATAGACTTAATAAATGATTTCATGAAGGAAGCCTGCAGTATAATCCTCTCATTTGGATAATAATGGTAACGTCAACATTATTGAAAACATTTATTTTGTAAAGTTGTGTTTGTTAGTTATTGTTTCTCTTACATTGTTGAAGAATAACGTGTAATTTAATTTTATACTGATTTATTAACTGTTGTTCTAATCGCTTAATTCAATCCCCTAATTCATAATTTAGAGGTCAACAAGATGGAGGAAGTGATGGAGAAACATTTTCCTTAGTTGTAATTCTTTGAAACACACTTATTTCCTTTATTGAAATATTCTTGTTGAATATCCTTATCGATTTTTATAGCTACAGTTCTATAACTATTCATATTTTTAATTTCAGATGTAGCATTTTTTTATTGTTTTCTTATCGGATAAAATAGTGTGATACTTCAGATCTATTAAATGATGGAAATAAATAACAAATATTTTTATTAATGGAAATACCTTCTACCAAAAACACTTTTTCCGCTTTCTTCACAACTTAGACAAAAAGCTGGGCTATCTCATTATTCATTGAAGCTTGTATTTTAATTTCTTAGAGTTTTCCAAATGTGATTTTATTCTCTGTATAAAAGCACAAACGTAATTAAAGTAAAATGAGAAGGAGTTGATCGGGGGGAGGGGGGAGGGGTGCGGGCAAATAAATACTAAATTAAACAAATAGTATTATTTAATTTTTGTCTTTTTAATTAAAGTAAAATATTTGTACAAAAGGTGATTCACAATCAAATAAAGTAATCACCTGTATGAAAGAATTAAATGACATTATTCTTCAGCAATGTATGAGAAACAATAACTAACAAACACAACTTTATAAAATAAATGTTTTCAATAATGTTGAGGTTACACTCATTTGGATTATGCTGGTTGAACATGTGTTATGGTGGTAACCAGCATTACAAATATTATTTTGTTCTATTTTTCATAATAATTTGCTCTGTTGGGAGATGCACACTATTTGCATTTTCATACTGACCTATAATGGATCAGGCTTGATGATATTTTTTGCTAACCATTTTTATTTTCTGTTTTTTTTTAATTTTGTAGGAAGTTACAGTAAATTTTTAGAAGCTGTCTAAACTTCTGTATTTCCTTCTTTATTATTTAACTTATCCACTAGTACAGTACTATTAGTGTTTATTATACTTTTAAAATTTTGTATGTGTTGGTGTATTCTTATTTGTAATTTTTTTGGAAGTTTTTCCTACGTATATTGTAACATATCTCTTATATTTTACAAATAATAATAATATAACCTCGGAAGATCACTTTAATACTATTGGGATACTTCCTAAATAAATATGAGGTTATTAAATAATAAACAAAATGATAAGAAAATTAATATATTTAGTTATCTGAGGTGTGGTATACTGACCATCAGATCAACTCAGACAAACTATTATTATTTACACTATTTATAATAAAATTAAACAATGATTTTAAAATCAAATCAAGTATGAATTGAAAAGCTAACCTTTTTTCTATATACACTGTTTCTTCCTTTGTTGCACTAAATTCATTTGCCTTCAAATGTTTTCCAACGTTCTGACAAATACGACTTCCAAAATGTTGACATTTTCTTCTCCTCAACTCAAGCTCCCTGGAAGATCTTCTCTCTTATAATTCCAAATAACCAGTCTCTCTGCCAAACAACAACTTCCAAGATGGTAATACTATTACTGGGTTTCACCCATTAGAGCCAGGATCCCTTCTCCTATCCTCTCTTCACTATAGCCACACAACAACTGCTTGCCAAAACAAATCCTTTCCCTCTTTGGGATTTTCCTTTTTGGGAAAACTACAGAGCTGCCATTTTCTTTTCTCTGCACTAGTAGAACTAGATTAGCTTGCCTTTTAATTGTTCAACATTAATTTATTAAACCCTTTTTACTCACTTCCAATAAAGGTGTACATTACATTTCTCCCCACTTCCGGGTAAAAAAAAAATGTTTAAGTAAAATATTTTTTTTTTCTTTTCACGTTAAATTTAGGTGAATACTGAAACATCTACATATTACTTATTCAATATAAACAATTTTTTTTTTTTAAGATTCTCTCTGAGTTACATCTTAACTTTTTTTTTTTTTCTTAACTTTTATTTTTTTCTTACATATTCTTTTCTTAAAGATATATTCACATGAGATATTGACAAATACAACTTAAATTACAGTAACATATGAACTTCACAGCACTTTAATATGTTAGCAATTAAGTTTCTTGATTTGTGACTGTTAAACGGTTCCCTAATTATGGAAAAACATTTATTTACCCCAGAGTGTGAGAACTTTTCATGTATTAATTTAATCAAGTTGATCATATCCTCTTTATTTACATAAATCAAAAATTTATTTCCTAAAAGTCTGGAAATGAAGCCATCTAAAATTCTGTACTTGTTGGGTTCCTTGTCCATCATTTTTATTAGTTCTGGGGCATTTCTTTGGTTTTTGATTAGTTCTTGAAAACATTTGGTTTCCTCAAGCAAATTTACTTGAAAATCAGTTGCTTTTTGCTCCGGTTTATCTATCGGATGTCTATTGAAGAAATCTGCTATTTTATTTTGAGTCCCAGGTATACGTTCGTAATTTATGTTTAGGGGTCCAAGATAGTTAATCCAACAGATCAAACGACCAGGTGGGTTCTTACATGAGTGCAAACAAGTTATGGTTTTTTTATCAGTTCTGACAGTAATTTTATATCCTGCAATTATGTTATAAAATTTTTGAATAGAATGAATAACGCCCAATAATTCCTTTTCGGTTGAGTGATAATTCCATTCAGCTTCTTTAAAGGTTCAGCTGCAAAATGAAATAATTTTTCTGTAACCTTGATTATCTAACTGGTATAAAACTTCCCCAGAAGCAAAGTCTGAATTGTCAGTATCAACATAAAACATTTTGTTAAAATTTGGGTAGTGTAAAGTAAATCATTTAACATACTTTCTTTAATGTGTTCAAATGCTTTTTGGTGTTCTTCTTTCCATTTAAAATTAGTCTTAATTGCAGTAAGTTTATGTAATGATTTTGTGGTGTCTGCATAACGAGGACAGAATTTATTATAAAAATTTATCAAACCTAAAAAACTTTGTAATTCTTTAACATTCATGGAAATTTTAAAATATTTAATGTCTTCGATCCTTCACTATGCCTTTGTCCATTAAAATGTAGCCCAAAAATTGTACCGATTTTCTGA